TTTTTTTTTTCTTATATTTTTTACTATATATATATATAATATAATTGAGTTATTTTATGGATTCATATCAAAAAAGTAATGTGAAAATAAATGTACTATGAAATATATGATAGAAATAATTTAACAAATTCTAATTCGATTTTGTCATACAAATAACTAGTGAAGCATCCTCACAAAATAGAACATAATTTTACTTAATACACTCAAAAAATATATACAAAAAAACTGTAATTACATTTAATTTATTATGTTATAAATGTTAGATGAAATCAAAATCATTATATTGGAAAAAGTGATTTATATAATTAAGTAGTCTAAATGCACATAAGGAAACTTCACAAATTATTTATAATGCATTGTTCTTATATAATATGCTTTACACAGTGGCACAATTTATAAAAGATATTGAAAATACTGCTCAATATAACAATATAAATATATAGAAAAGAATGAAATGTTAACTCTTCAAATGTACGTACTAAATTGCTATATATAAAATTAAAAAATGAAATTATAACTCACATATACTTTAATACAATCCTACATAAAATTATTATAATAATATATTTTAAAACTATAATTCTTCAACCCAAAATATGTAAATCACAATTGAATGTATAACTCCCTTTACAAATATATCCTTATGTAATAATATATAAAAAAACAACCTTAATGAAAACCTATGAAGCATTTTGTTAATATATTAAGAAAAAATATCTTATTTTAAATAAGCAAATGTTTAGCTAAAATAATGAAGTTTTGTTTTGTTCTTATTATAACACACTCAAATACATATATTCTAAAAGAATGACATGTTTATTTACGTACACAATTAAAAAATATTGTATGAAATAATTAGAGCATATAAATATATTTACAAATTTTTATTAAAAGAGAACTCATCTACTATAAAATACAGTAGGTACTATGCAACCATGATTTATATGAACAAATTAATGTACAAACTCATACAAAATAATAATGAATTCTATAATATATTTATATATTGTTCTCTCTAACAAGGACAAATATATACATTTATCGGTATATACATATTAAGTGATCACATAAATATTGTTCTATGTATGTTTTTAATATAATTTTTGACACATGAATCTAATATACATTGATGGAATAATTTGATTGTAAATCAAAATAAATACTAATTAGATAGAAATGTAATTATACAAATTTTAGACGTATATAAAAAAGTTATACATATATAATATTTATATAAATTAAAAAACATTTAGTTCATAATAAAATATATATGACTTTATATATTTGCATAATAGAATCTTTTTCTATACATATCTTTGTTGAAATCATAATATAGATTAGAAAACATTTTTTCCTTCTTCTCCTTTAATTGTTCATATTTTAGAACTTTCCCCATTACGTAAATAATGAGTAACAATATTATAAATGATAATATTACAAAGAATGCTATATAAATATATGTTACTGCAGCGGGTATTCCTGAAGCAGATAAAACAGATTTATATTCACGAAACCATCGACCCCCCGTTTGTTTATACCCAACAGGAATCGGAAGAATATGCTTAGTGGTACTATCTATCCTATCTAAAACAGGTAAAATTATTCCAAGT